ATCACTCATGCTGTGCATCATCAGCTCAGTGAGACCACCAGAGAGGCATCATTGTGGAAAACACTCTCTCCATCATTCACACATACATTTCTGACTCAGTTTAGGAAGCTGCATACTGTATGCATCAGATTGCCGCCTCAGTATTTGGTGTGTAAACAGGACATTAATAGTCATGTCATTGTGTAGGTGCACTACCAGTGTGTGTGTGTAACTGTGAGCCTTACCTTGCGTATGAGTGTGTCATGGTCTATTCTTCCCATGCATTAGTGTGTCAACGGACATAAGCAGACGTAGCAGGAGTGGTGAGGCGGTAAGGCAGGATATCCCCTCTCTGTCTTACAGGCTTCCTCTGCTCCTCTGGCACACATACAGAGATCCTTCCTCACCCCATCCTCTTCCTCCTCCTCCTCTTACTTTCCTCATTGCCTTGTTTTCTTCATTATTATTATCACATTCTTTCTTTTCCTCATGAGTAACATCCAGGTGGTGGTCTGCTCGGTCTTCTTCTTGACTTGGACCATTTTTCTCCATCTTCAATTCTCAGTCACACTCTCTCGTCATTTTCTTCTCACTTCTCCGCCTGTTCACACATGTCCCATCTTATTTTTTGTATGTGCAAAAAAAAAGGCAAAACTAGAAGATCTAACAGGGAGTGAGTGACGACAGGGAGTGGGTGAAAGTGAGAATGCATGCCATCTGCTTATCCGAAATGGGAACCATTCCTCTTAAAGTTTAAGTCGTGCTGATACAATTAGTTACATCCAAAGCAGCAGAGCTTTCCTTTTCTCTCACAGTACTTTTCCTTTTAAAGATGGAGACCTTGTGCAGCCTGGTAAACACACATATAATGCACCACAACGTGTGTGTGTCCAACTGGCTGCATAACTGCTCTGTAGAAATATAGTGGCCAATCAGTTCAAAACTGTTTTAAGATGCTCGGGCAAATATACTCATGCAAAGTAGTGAGACACTGCCTCTTTCTGTCTGTCTGCCTGTCTCCCCTTCTGTTTCACTCTGTGTTTTCAATCTATCCATTCATCCCTATATCTCTCATGTCGACCTCTCTCACCTACCTTTGCTTAAAAGTGTCTTTATGTGTGTGGAACTGTTTGCCCATCATTGCAGCAAATTTCCCCAAGGCTCCAGCCACTGTGGTCAGGCCACAAACCTGTTCTCAAACACACACACACACACACACACACACACACACACACTGTAACACACTGTAACACACTGAATGTGTGAGCCTGCTATGCACTGCATGTGCAGATTAATTCTGAGTGGTGGCACTCATCAAACTCAAACTACTAGCTTCTCTGATGTCAGGCCAGATTGCTCAGGTCAGTCAGTCAGACACCCTGCCGTGTGTGAGTGTGCATGTGTGTGTGGTTAGAAACTACGCAGAGAGGGTCAGAATATACTGTATGTTTACATCAGTCATATATTAAAGTGATTAGACTGTGGAGCCAGAAAGACGAGTCTTGGAACAAACAAGCAGCTGTGTGCCGCTAACACACACTTTACCTGTGTGTCTATGTGTTTTCAAGAAAACCAACCCATGTCTTTGCCCCTCTTGCATCTGTGTGCCACACAGACCTGCCTTGTATGCAGTCACTCTCGTTTCACCAACCTTAATCCCTCATCAGGGAGGTATAAGAGCTGAGGTACAGCACCTATTAGCCTTAAATTACGTCCCTTACCCCCCTACTGGCCTACGACCGGCCCCCAGAGCCCCCATAACTGTCACCTCACGGCTCTGGTCTCGGTGTGGCATAACCGCTTCAACATTGGTCCTTTATTAAAGCTTGCTGCTTCGAATGAATGGCTTCAGGCTTAACACAATAAAACAGCTAATGTATGTCTGTGTTTTTGTCTGCTGCTCAGCTCCTGTATCACACACACTCATTCAAGGCCAGATGGATTTAAGGTTGGACCTTAATGTGTGTCGTTGTCATTTTTAAGTTCAATTGGCGCCAGGTTTAGTCACTGTTGAAAAATGAGCTGTTTTTAAAGCACCTCTATAATATTGAGTGTAGCAAACAGGACACGGTTTGTTTTCTCTCTGGTTCAGAGTCAACCGTTTTATGCAAATGGAGGAGAAAATGGGCATTAGCCCAAAAGACTGCTTGTCTGAAAACTCGTTCCAACAGTTGGGGGCCTGATATCATCATAGCTGCGGGCATTGCTGCCTGCGTACATGAGAAAGTGAGCTGCACTAATGGAGCATAAACAGTACTCCAACTTAGTGGCAATACCTGTGTGCAGGCAGGATGCATTAATACACAAGAACAAATTATACAGCAAACAGTTGTATTGATTATTAATGAGTTGTAATGACTTTTAATGCTCTGTCATCACGATTACCTCTAATGGAAATAAAGTTAGATGAGAAATGACGCCATCGGGCTGTTTCTCCGTCTCTGTTTGAGTCTGTCTCTTATCGGATGGACTCCCACCTGTGTTAGGAGGAATTACAAGAATAGATCCTCTACAGCGCAATGAGAAAATATGCGTCCCCTTCCTGATGTGAAATGTTTCAGAGCAGCATCAATTTAATTTTAAAGTACGGATTTTTTATGTTTTGTATTTTATCTTATGTATATCTCATGGGTGTGGTTTTCATATATGTTGGTTTCTACCACACCCCAAACCTACTTTTACACTTCATTTATGTAATTTGACTTTGTGCTTTGTGAAATATACAATAATACATTTTAATATTAGACAAAGACAACACAACTGTTAACACAAAAGGCAGTTTTCAAATGATGGTTTCGTTTATTGTAAGATCCAAATCTACCATCAATGTGAACTAGTAATGGCCTACTCAGTTTCTACATCAACCAATTAACCAAATGTAATTGATAATTGGTTTCATTGTGATTAGCCACACCCAGGCTATATCCTCCTGTTTATCTGGATGGGCTCCAACTTTAAATGGGCTCTTCCTTGGCTCATTCACCACCCTTCCACAAAATTGAATGGAAATGGGTTCAGTAGGTTTTGAGTAATGTACTGACAGACAAATAGCAAAGAGAACAACCTCCTTGCCAGAGGTATAGATGATCATTAACATTTAATCTATAAGCAAAAATATAAGAAATGATGATGATGATGATGGTGATGATGCTGAAACCTGGAAATGATGAGGAGGATGATGAGGGTGGAAAAGAGTTCATCTGATTTGCTCCTGTGTTGACTGGGATGGGGCGTGCAGAGCGATGAGATGACGTATAGCTGAACGTGCCAGAGCCATAACTGTGGTCCCTGGACGGGCGCTGTGGCTTCTCTGGGCCTGTCTCATCAATGTGACACACTCATGGAGACAGACCCGCGCACACATACATTTGTATGCATACAGGGGAGGGTAGACAAAAATATATATAGACACCAACACTCTCACACGTGCATTTGTTTTAAACCACTGAAGTATAATGGTTGTGATTACGGATGGACTGTCATTGGGGAGAATCTATACCCAGCAAACCAAACGGCCTGTGCCTCTATGTAAACTGGGGGAGGGGGGGTCACCATACTGTTGATCTGAAGGCAGGAAGCAGTTGAGAAATGAGTGACAGAGATGACAGTAGAGGTAATTCGAGGCAGGTGAGGCTCATGTGATGATCATTTGAGGGTGGACCTCCTGTGATTAGGACTCGTAAGAAACTCAGAATGTCAATGGATGAATAGAGCAGCTAATTAATTAGAAGAGGTTGGTGTGTGTGTGGGGGGGGGGGTCTTTATGCTGGTTGCAATATTTGATATCAAAGAGAAATCTTTCTTTCTTTTTGCTCTTTCTATCTTTCGCTCTTTTTGTTGCGCATTATTCCTTTTGTTGTTTTTTCTTATTTGCATATTTTTTTTTTTCTTTTGTTTGCTCTTTCCATCGCTTTCTTACCATTAAGCTGTCTTTATTTACCTCTTTCTGTTTTTTGATCTTTATTCATTTTTCTGTTTAGCTTTCTTTCTAATTTCATTCTTAGCTATCTGTCTTTCTTTTTTTCTCTTTCTTTCTCTCTGCCGTTCATTCTTTCTTCTGCTCTTTTCATCTTTCATTGTTATGCTCTTTCTTTTGCTCTAATGGTCTTTCATTTGCTTTCTTGTTGTTTCTTTCACAAAGAAAGAAATAAATAAAATGAACAACAAAGGGATTAATAGCAAGGTGTTAAAGGGAAAAGTGATTTAATGAGAGAACTCTTGAAAAGGATGTTTTAAAAAAAGCTGATGTTGAAACAGGAACAGGGAGCATGCTGGTAATTTATCGCCGAGCCCTTGTGTTCAGACTCAAGGGTGTGCAGCAAAACACAGGATCTGCGGTATGTGTGTTTTAGAGAGAGAGAGAGAGAGAGAGAGAGAGAAGATCGGCGGGTGAATCAGCCAGTGGGAGGAGAAAGAGACAGAGAGACAACGAGAAAGAAGGAGGGAAGGGAAGAGGAAGAAGGAGGAGAGGGGAGGGTGAATGAGCCATGGGGGGTAGAGTGAGCAAACCAGTGACTGAGTGAGAGGCTGAGGGAGGAGAGAGAGAGAGGAGGAGGAGGAGGGATGTTGCTGCTGCTGTTCCTCCTGTCAGTCGGCTGCTGCTTGCCTGGTAAGCAGGAGGGAGCACAGAGGAGGAGACAGAGGCTGGTCACTGCTGCGTTTCGCTCCTGCAGCGCTATTGTCATCTCTGTGGCACAGGGAGCCACAGACGCGCTGTGAAAGAGTGGATTTACAGAGAGACACTGATCTGCAGATCCATGGATTACCAGCAGTGAGTAAGGGTGACTGCCACACTGCCACTCCACTAACCAACTCGTCATTTTCAGCAGAGGGGTGAACCCACAGCCTCACACAGTGGGGAGTCTGGCTCAGTCTGGACCCAGTGGAGACAGAGAGAACGAACCAGACAGTGCTGTTGTTTTTAACTCCATCTCTCATTCTCACCTCTCCATCCGTTTCTTTCAGTCTGCTCGCTTGTATTTCACAGTGTGCCACTGATTCTTTTGCTTGGCTCTCTGCAGGGGGGATGCTGGAGGCTAATGTGGCTAACATTAGCATGACGGCGAAGCCCAGAGAGCTGAACCTCAGGTCTGCTGCTGCCGTCTCCTGCCAGGATACTTCAGCCCAGGCCATGGCCTCTAGGAAGCCCCCGCCCAAGCCCTCCGCTCTGCCCCAGGGTCCTTCACGTCCCTCCGGGTCAGAGCTCAAAGTCTACCGGCCCTCCTCTGGATCTATCCCAATTCCAATCCCCAATCCTTCTGGCCTCCGCAAGCAGCGATCACTCAACAACTTGTGTGTGCTCACTGATGCTGAGAAGAAGCTGCACCTGTACCAGTCTCCACGGTGGAATGATCTTACAAACCGGCCTGGCGCTGGCGCCAACAAGGCAGGACAGACTAAAACAGGTCCGGCTGGGGGTGGGAGACCTCCGCTCTCTCGGACCCTTTCAAAGTCAGAACAATCTCTTTTCCAGGGAAAACCCAAACCACTCTGCTCGCCAGCAGTCACTTCCAACACCGGCAAGCCGAGTCGAATCCCTGCCCCTGGTAAACCACGGGGACCTTACGCTGAGGTCAAGCCCATCAGCAAGGCCTCTGAGGTGGGACAGAGTGCAGACATAGACCCCTCTGACAACCAAATTAAAGCTAACTCCAATGGAGCCGGGAGCACCGGGACTAATGGCAAGAAACCAGGGGAGAAGGTGAGATCTGCCTCCCCCTCGACAGAGGACAAGAAAGAGAGGAAAGGGATAGAGGGGGAAGATGACAAGAGCTTTCTGAAGGTGGACCCAGAATTGGTGGTGACGGTGCTTGGAGACTTGGAGCAATTACTCTTCAGCCAAATCCTCGGTGAGTCCATGATCACTACCCAATCCTGCTTGACAACATACAGGTGCAAATCGTACTGTACATCAAGTCGAAACACATTGAGTAACATAAACATCCTCTCTGCTCTCCACACCCAAACTGTTCCCTCCAGCTCTGGACCTAAAGCATCAACAGTGAATTTTAAATGAGTTGAGTCTCTATTGCAGCAGAGCAAAATGTCAGTGTGTTTTTCTAAGTGCTACTCACCAGACGATGGAGAGAGACTCCTGCTCTGTAGGTGGCAATAACCTCTCTGCTTTCTTTGTGGCAAACAAATGTGCTTCGTCCATATGAGCAAATCGATTTTTGATGTACGTATTTGCTCAGATTTGTGTGTGTGTGTGTGTGTGTGTGAACTAGCATTGTGTGCTCCCATGAATCAGCTGAAGCAAGCGCAAGGCTGAAATTGTTTTGTCGTTGAATCATTAGCTAGTGCTGGAGTGTTTTTGTCCCAGTCTCATCTGACCCACTGCCACAGTGAGCTAGATATAGATTAACCGATTCAATACCTCCCTCTTTTTTCACATTTTCTCTCTTTTTCTTTCTCACAATCACTTCTACACCCACAGCTCTGTCCATCCGTCAGTCCCCACATGTGTGTGTCTATGTTTGTTTGTATTTGAGACTCCATGTTTCCCATCAGTGCTGCAGTCCTAGCATCTCCAGGCTCATACCAGAGTCAGCCATTCGTTAATAAAGGCCGTGTGAGCGGCACTCGTGGGGTGTGTGTGTGTTTTCTCTCGGTAAATAAATCGGCTGCATATTGAGCCAGGCTGCGGGTCACAGTGGGCCACATATTTAGCCTCGCTCCACACCCTCACCCCTTCCTCCCCCTCCTCTCTTGTCCCATTGATCTCTGGGACGCTGACAGATGGTCACTATCCACCACCACCTCCCCACCTCCTCTGCCTGTTACCGGGGGCAACGTGTGGGAGAAGAGCAGGGAATCTGGGGGGGTGGTGGCATGGACAGGTAGTTAGTGAGCTAACATGCACACACACACACACATACCTTTATAAACACTTGTGTCACACACACATGCCACACACACATGTCCCACACACAGGTCACACTTTATCGCCAAAGTTGTTGTCACTGGGTTTGTATTTGGAGAATAGAGGCAGATTTTGTGTTCTGGTCAAACCAGTGTCTGAATCTGCACCTTTCATCCATTATTCATCCTATGTTTCTCTCTCTCCATATTGCTCATTCTCTCTCTAAACCTCCCTCTCGGCAGAAAGCAGATAGCATCAGAGAGCGAGGGAGATGACGAGTCATTATATCTGATTGATATAAAGAAATCATTTTCTGTCTAACATCATCCCACTGTTTGTCTTCTGTCTTTCCCTCTCAAGTTATTTCTCTCTCTGTCTCTTTCTTTCCCTCTTCGCCAGCTTGCCTCCCACAACTCAGCCCCAGATCACAGCTTGTATGACCTTGCCCCCACAGTTTTTAGAGTGTGTGTTTGTACTGTACATGGTGTGTGTGTGCGAGCGTGTGTGTGCGCGCGCGTGCACGTGTGTGACCTTGTTCCACAGCTTGTTGTGATGTTGCTGGCCACACCTACGTCAGGCAGCCAGGTAGGGAGTAGAGGGGAAAAACAGACAGACTAAAAATAGAGGAAGAAAAACAGAAAATACATTTATTGAGGAAAAGTGAAAGGGCAGGGCATCATTAACAGAACAAGATAAATGTGAAAGAAAGAGAGAGAAAGAGACAGAGACAGACTCCAAGAGAGACTGGAGTAGAATAAAGGTAAAAGCCGGTGACCTAAATTTCTAGCATCCCTTGTGACCGGCGGTAGCTTTGGGTCATCACAGTCTACCAAAACCTGCCAGAGGTTTATCATAGAAACCTGTGTGTTTTGTGTGTGTGTGTTTGGGACAGGTTAATTGTAGCTTGCCCTCTAGCTTGCGGCTATGGGCTCATCCTTTATCGTATCTGCTTCTCCATTTCCGATGGCACGAGCAGCTAATTGGTTTCTGCTCCGTGTGCTCTGTCATAGGAAGATAGATTATGAATGTCCAATGGATCATTCCCAGTGATCTGCTCCTCCCTCCCTTCCCCATGCATGGTCCCATCTTCTCCTCATCTGCTTCCTACATACATTAAAGCCGTGTGTCCCAGCACAGCATGATATTATACTAGATTTGATAATGAATCTAGCTCAACTCGGTCATAGCCTTCTGTACTGGAAGCTACTTCTTAGCTGTGGGCTACAGGGCGAAAATTATAAGCCTGTGTCTGCATGTCATGACAGTGAGCAGGATTCACTGGGACATTGTTTTTGGAGACCAGGCTACAGTACTGGGCAGATAATGGAGGCAACCAAGGAGGTCTAATTGGAATGTATAACCCAAGATAATCAGCTATTCATCTGCATACACACACACACACACACACACACACACATGAAGAGGTCTTCTAGGTCAGGTTAGGCCTGATTTAGGATTAGCGTCAGTGTTATCTGTTTTTCTTTAATCGGACATAAATGTTTAACCACTGAGCGATCAAGAGCTTTTTTCTAATTGGATTTTAAG